TTAATAGTTTGATGTTACGAACCGCTGTTGTGCTATATGTACATCATAATTTATAAATTAATTTACCGATGTGATCAAAATCTCATCGATGAAATAAAAAAACCTCCACCAATTTATTTTTGACATTTCCTAATCCTAATTCCTAACAAAATAAAAAGAGCCAGTTTTTTTTGGACAGGTGTCGTGTTGTCCTATCGTCAACCAAAACTACGTAAGCCATCTGTTTACTTTCTCTGGATTTCTTGGGCTTAAAGCTGTCCGCCCTAGGATTTTGTCCGCCACTCCCACTGCCTCTTGCCGCCGATGCTTGAACCTTAAATTTACGGGCATGGAGACACCGACCCGCATTTCTTACACCAGTTAAGGATAGTACTCTTTAGAGCTAGATTGGGTATTACACTCGAGAAATCGGGTTCGGACCCATCTTGGAGATTGGGCGTGAAACCCAAATCTTTACATACTTGCACAGTTAATCGCTCGAAGGTTGGGGTTGTTCTATTTGCAGTAATAACGATCAGTTTGGTATTGAACTAATAATTATAACCTGCATATGGCTGCAGTTTATACCATATTCATTTATTCAGAAAGAAGCTAGCCATGTTGAGGGCTTTTAGTCCAGAATTAGTGCTTGTAACAATTGGAGGAGGAAAGGAGCTTGAAGAGAAGCTTGTGGTAACTACTTAACAGTTTTTCTATTTATTTTTTGTTACCATCCTTTTTCTGTATGTCGGTCAAATTCTGGAATGGAAATGAGTTTCCATTTCTATTGTTGCACTTCTTGAGGTTCTGGCAGGTTAGGCCTACAAGTGAAACAATCGTGAATCACATGTTTACTCAGTGGATTCATAGCTATCGTGATCTCCCACTTATGATCAACCAGGTGTCTCTTCATTACATCACCTCTTGTTTTCTCCACTTGGGGCGATATTGCCTTCTGATGTTTGTGGTTGTCACTTAATGTGATTCAGTGGGCAAATGTCACAAGATGGGATCTTTAGTTCAAAATGCAATTTTGAGTTTTGTATCGGAAGTGAATTATTTTAGTTAAAATTGTTGTTGTATTTGTTGAAATTGGGTTTTCAGTATCTCAAAGAAGCTGGATGGGCCAAAGGTGGGTGCTTGACAGCGTGCACAGAACCAAGAAGATTAGTGTTCAGGTACTATTTCCAGATATTGTGCTCATACTTATTGGCATTTATATTTTGTTTCTGATGGATAAAGTTTTTGTTAAGGAAATCTAAGGTTGTATCATAGCAGTAAAAAGGTTATCGCTTGTTGGGTAATTTGGCCAACTTAGAACATGTATAGTAGTTTAATTGATTAAGACAAATGCCAGAGGCTTGAGTTTTTACACAAGTGATTTTTTATGTTCAGAAATGAATTTCTTGTTTTATTTATCCTCACAAGTTGTTAATTTGGAGTTCATGTCTAAGTTAGAGTATGTATATGTTTACTGCAGTGGGTTTACTTTTGGAATAATTGAATACTCTTAGTGCTACATACTACATAGGGGTGACTATCATTAAGAGTATTGCCTTATTCTTTAATGGTATACTCAAATCATTAAGTGAACAAATACCTAATGTTTCCCAAATCCTTCCTCGCTTAGACGGATGATGGTGCCACTGAGGGATTTTGTTCAAATGGAAGAAACTGTTTCTGAACATTCACCAATTGAAAGAAGGGAACTTGGGCTTTACTTTCTCATTTCCAGTGATGGTGCCGCTGAAGGATTTTGTTTAAATCGAAGAAAATGTTTATGAACATTCACCAAGTGAAAGAAAGGAACTTGGCTTTACTTTCTCATTTCCAGTGAAACAAACTTCTTCATCAGACATTCTGATTAAATGGACAAAAGGGTTCGTCGTCGAAGACATGATTAGTTATAACATGTTTATTTTACTTCAGTGCTTAATGAATCACTCTCAATGGTGTGCAGAAGAACGTGTATATTCCCCTCTTCTTTTATTCTTTACCCTTATGTGAGACACAATACGTT